AAGGTCTTTTCCAACCTAAATGATTCTGTCATTCTATGACTGTAATAAAACATTAGTCGTTATGTTACCTGACTCTTTTTTTCGTCTCCAAGGCAGGAAAAAATGAGCCTTACGAAACTACCGTAGAATATAAGCAGAGCTGAAGGGATTATTATGCCAGCTAAGTAGTAAGGGGCAGTTCAGTGGCAAAATGGAGGAGTGTAAAGTATGGGGTTCACTAGAGGTTTCTCCTGCATCTGATTTCCTTCAAGATTTCTATTAATGTTCTAGATGATAGATGAAAATACAATAAACCAGCAGGAAACAGGGAGAGTTTCAATACGGTGGATGAGAGTAGGATTTTGACAAAGTACATGAATGGTCTGGAAAATGTGGAATGAAATACAATAGGGACATACGTAAGCTGCCATGTCTAGACTGTAATAATCAATTTAAATACAGGTGGATGGAAGACACATACAGAGCTAGGTGCAGCGCACAAGTCCCTGGCTCCCTTGAGCAGTTGAACAAGTCTTAGTGAGTAGCTCTTCCATGAGCTTGTTAAGTTTTCTCTTGAATCCATTCACTTTTTTAGTATCAGCAGCGTCCTGTGGCAAAGAATTTTGTCTATACCAATAATCTTAAAGTACTTCAACTAAAAGGTAGGTGTCAAAAGAGTTGGGAATACCCTACTCTCTGTGTCCAGAGGGCAGGAGGTGATGGACAGGCAAGTTAGTTGTTAGAAGAAATTAACAGGGAGCACTGGGACAGGCTTCTGAAGACGGCCGTTTTGCCTCCAGTAGTGGATGCCTTTGAGAACAGTGCAGATTAACAGTTCTCAGGACAGGTATAATTGTTGGATTGCACTGATACAGAGACATAGAGTAGGTGATTTCTAAAGGTACTTTACAGTTTGCTTTGTTTATGATTTGGTTTTGGTTGGAACAGGTCAACAAGCTACAGCTTATGATATTGTTATGGAGTACAGAGGTATGCCATGGTAATGCTTGCAAATCATAAATTGGAATTTATTTCTGAGAATCGTGACCTGTGACACTAGTCCTGGTCTTTGCAGAGAGCTAGCATGTGCTGGTTCAGGATTGAATGCTGTTTTATAGAAATGAAATTATTTAAAAACCAACCAACCCCCAAAAACTTAAAATTGGTTTTATGGTTGTGAGGCAAACCATTCAAATTCTATCAAAGCAATGGTACTTTCTTAGCCTAAACTGAAAGGTCTATAAATGAGCTCCCTTAAGATTTGATTCTGAATTATAGTGGTTCTATAAAAATGTTGTTAAAATAAATGTGATAAAGTTTTGTTGTTATAGTAAATGTGATTATGAGAAATCAGGAGGTGAAATTTGCATTAGGAATGATGGAGTTTTAGATCTGCATTTAATGGGTCACATTGACACTATCCCTTTATGGTTCATTTAGTGATGGAGATTTTCTTGTACATGTCTCAAAGAAATTGAGTTGATGGGCACAGCCTTGTGAGTGATTGCTTGTGGGTTTGATTTTTCTGCTTGTCCCTTTTGGTGTCAGTATTGGATCAGCACTGTAGTGAGACTGTGTCATTTTTGTCTCCCAGGAGTCATTACCTTTTCTGGAGAGGATTATAAATTACTGGGAGTGGATTTATCAGAGCTGTCTGAGCTGGAGAGAGCCCTGGAGGAAGCAGGACTGGACAATGAAATCCCCACCCTCTTCATAGCAGAGGTGGTGCTCACCTACATGGAAAATAGAAGGTCAGTTGAATTTTCCTCTGCTAGCTAGGTGGCAAAATGAAAAGGACAGGCTTCTTTGTATGTATGTCACCTGGGGCTGGGAAACCTGCTGTAGGAATGCAGTGGAAGTCCCAAACAGCTCCTTACATCATCATTGTGATGGGGTAATTGATGTCCACATGACATCCTAAAAGGGGTGGTGGGGGGGAAAAGCAGCAGCAAAACCTTGAAGGAGCGATCCTGAGTTTTTTGTTCTTTTCATCCGCTGAATTCTCTGCACAGATGAGGGAGGAGATGTTCATAAGTCCCCAGCACAGGATTCTCTTTTGTGTATTACCTCTGTCAGGATGCCTTAATAGCATGCTTTATGGTGTTGCAGGAAGATATATTGCATCTGCCATATGACAGGTGGGCCCTCAATTATTTAATTCTTATGCACAATCTGCCTGACAGGTCAGATGCCTTGATTCAGTGGGCAGCAGAGCATTTCTCTCAGGCATGCTTTCTGCTGTATGAACAGATGCACCCAGAGGACCCCTTTGGACGTGTCATGCAACAGCATTTTAGCCAGCTGAACTCTGCACTTCATTCTTTGTCACAGTACCCGGATTGTGAAGCACAGCAGAGACGCTTTTTTGAAAAGGTAAGCACCTGCAGCTCTAGGGCACACATGAATCATGATTTACCTGGGAAAGATAGTAACATTAAATAACTGTGGAAGTCATCAGCTGTGTCAGTTACGGGTTGAAGCAAACAGGGCCAAGGCTGAGACGCTGCCTTCTCCAGCAGCATGACTAGTCATCTGAAGGTCCTGCCAACCAACTTGCAGCCTACTTTCTGGTATGGGATTAAGGCAAGATGGGTTCCTCTGAGACTTTTGATATTATAAATTAAGTTCTTAAGAGCTTTACAGGTAAGAGATCTATCCTCAGCAGATTCTGGGCTGCTGCTGTTCCAGCTAGACACTCTTAAAGGCTCATGTGGGTGTTTAAATTAGGGTCTTTGTTTTCTTGTGGGAAGTGAGTCTATGCTTCCAGAGGTAATGATTTTGAGGGATTTCTGTTTTAGGGCTGGACTGAGTGCAGTGTTATGGATATGAATGAATTTTTCGCCTGTTGTACTCCAGAAGATGAGCAGCAAAGAGTACAGGCTCTGGAGCCTTTTGATGAATATGAGGTAACCCTCCTTTATTCTGAACAGCAGTGACCTGGCTTTGATATGATAAGGTGTTTGCAATTTCTTGTGGTCACAGTTCTGTACAAGAGCTGCTGAGGCACAGGTGTTCATGTAGGCAGAAAGGATCTTGAATCAGACTTAGTTAATGCAGAGCCCGCAGGAAGGTCCGTGTGAAGCTGGGGTGAGTAGCATTGGAAGAAGACTCTCTTTGGTGTTAGAAAAGCTTCTTGTTCCTTCCTCAATGAGTGGTCTCTCAGGGAGACAGTCTTAGCATAGCAAACTAGCTTGTGGTATAAAAGATGTTGTAGATGCTAAAAGTTTGCCTGGGTTCATGGGGCAATTATTTTAATGAAACAGCAATCCATTGAGGGTTACTGAATACATAAAAATTCACCTGATGCGAGGTTCCTGACTGCAAATGGTTGCGAGCATTCCTGGGAGAAGTAGATGCACTTGTCCTGCTCTCTTGCGTTTCCATAGGCTATTACTGTTTGTCATTGTTGGATACAGGTTACTGGTTTCAGATGTTTTTTTGGTCTGACTTTGTACAACCATTGCTATATTAATGGTTGAAATTTAACTTGCCATTTTTATGTTAACTGCTGGCAAAGTTTGCGACTATTTGAAGTCTAGAGGAGAAGACAAGTCAAAGATACTGAGTAACTTTGAGATAAATATCCTGTAGGATACTTACTAGAAGTTTCTCTTTTAATTTTGTGGTTCTCTGTTTATAATTCTCTCTAGAAATCTAACACCCTGCAGTATGAAAACAATTTAATGTGCTTGCATTCATTTTGCCAACACGCAGGATTTGCTCTGCTACGTGAATGCAAAAGTGATGACTGAAAGATGCTGGCAGATTTGCAAAGTGGTGTAGAAATGTCTACAAGAATTACTGTAGATCAAGGCAATTGCTCATACAGTGAGAAAGTAAAGACTTTTTATCATTTTCCCTATAGAGCAGGTTAACATGTACAAAAGTCCAAGCTGAAAATTGGGCATAGGAGTAAGAGATGTGATAACAGAGAGTTTTACAATTAGCCTTTGAGATAAAGATAAAGTAAGATCCAGGTCTTACTGGAAATGAGCCTGATTGAGTTAGGTAAGGATTGTAAAATACAGACTTAGTGCTGAGGGCAACTAATTTTTAGAATAATTTGCCTAGAGACAAATAGTGGGTTCTTCCATTTTCAGTATTTACATTAATTTTTGGATATCACTTTTCAAAAGATGCTTTTTGCTTCTGGTAGAAGTTGGGGCAGTGATGCTAATATTGTGGTTTCTTGTGCCTTTTAAATTCATGTTTATGCCTTCTAGTCACATAGTTGTCTGAATATATCCCACCCCATGGGAATGAGCATACTCAATTCCCTAATGTCCATAAAAGCCAGGGTGGACTCTAGTATTGCTGCCAACTTCCTGTACAGTCTTCTTGCTTGTGCTTCTGCTTCTGAGTGATTCCAGGGCCAGACTGGAAATCGTGTGTGTATTAGTGACCAGCAGAGACCATGGTGCACCTTTGAACATTTGTGATTTCTTTGGGATCACTTATATTCCATGACCTTTAAGAAACCTTAATCCCTCTGGTATACAGCCCTCCCTCTTTTCTGTGATCAGAACTAGGAAGCATAAAGGGAAGCTGATTTCCCCCCCCCCCCCCAAAAGTTCCTCATGCAACGTATAATTAAGCTATGGAACTCCTTGCCACAGCATGTTACAGATGATAAAAGTTTATGTGAGTTCAAAGAGCAACCGGATAGGTTCATGGATGAGAAATCTGTCAAGGATTGTTCAAATACAAAGACACAACTTCTTGCCTGCAAAATCCCTGAGCTGTAAATTTTTGAAGGCTGGGGTGAGGAAGGTATTTACACGCTTGCTCTTTCTCAGATTCAACATTAGTCCTCTGGTTTTGGCCACTGTTGGGAACAGTGCTAGGCAAGGTTGGTCTTTGATTTGATCACCCTGGCCATTCTGAGATCATTACTACTGCTTGCTTTAAGATTTTGAGGGGGATTGTTTGTTTTTTTTTCTTTGGGCTGGCTATAGGAATGGCATCTGAAATGTTCGCATTACTTTGTCTTGACGGCATCAAAGGGGATGGAACCTTCCTGGACTCCATTGCTCTCCAATATGACAGGTACATACTGACTAGTTTTCGTAGTATTCTTTTATCTCATGCAGGCTTCTCTGAGAGATTGTAGGAGACAGTAAAACCCTGGAAGGAACAGATGGGACGCTGCCATCTGAGTAGCTTTCTCCATCCTCTAACAACAGTTCTGCTGTCCACGGAGAGGCCAGGGCCATGTCCTGACTCTGGTGGTTCTGGTTGGTTTCATTCTTTCAGTTGATTGAACCTTCCAGTCTGAACAGTCCTTCTGTTTATACATGGGGCCCTCCAGTGCATGGCTGCAATGCCAGGCTACCCTGCTCTTCCTCCCGTTTTTGGCATCCCACAGACTCTCCCTTTTCAATTTATTCCTGCTTGCCTCCATACATGGCTCTCTGAGCCATTCTGTCCTTCCAGCTCCCAAAAGGTTGTTATGTTTTGCTTACTGCACTATCGAAGTATTGTCCAGCAGAGCACTCAGGAGCATGTCACCAAGCTTGTGCTTTGTTTTGTTATTCCCTGTGGGTGGAATTGTACATGTAGTATTTCTGTTTCTGAAATGCTTTTAAATCTGTATGTTGCTTTTTGTAGATGGGAGAAAAGTGGTACAGCTGGGGAAAAGCCAAGACCAAAACTGTTTGCATGACAAAAAGAACTTGGCAGCTTTAGCAGTCCAAGAAATTCCTGCTTTTGGCTGCTTGCTTCCTTTTTCAGGGTGGAATGCAGAAGGTTATTTTTAACCTGTTTCACATCACTAGTCTTGTTCACAGTATAGCATCACAAGTAGTTCTCTCTGCAATTGAAAGTCAAAATCTGTGTTCTAGGGAGCAGGAAAAGCAGCTGGAAAAGGATAAGGCAGGATGGCATTCCCTAAGCCAAGAAAGCCACTGAATGCATTGTATTTGTGTCTTGATTAGATCTGAAAATGTGTAGTGAAATCGAAGCTAAATGAATGTGGGTGTGGTTAAATGCACTGTGTGATTGTCACTGGTCCTTATGTTAAAACCTTAAAGGCTCCTGAACATGCAGGATCTATCCTTAAGTTAAAAAAAAAATCTTTGCTTAACTGATACTAATACAGTAAAGACACTTCATTCATTAGAGACAGGAATAGGGTCTTTCTGCTGCTGTCTCTGTTGTATTCAAAACTGGTAGCAGGGGCCTTCAAAGCCTGGTAAATTGTCCATGCTTAGATATTTTTTTACTGGGAATGGCAAAAGGTATGTCTCAAATACCAGTATGTGCCCCCAACTATCCTCTCAAGTGGATTTGGGTCCCTGTTCAAGAGAGTGCAAGTACTAAATCTTCCAAACAGAGCATGGTAAATATATTTTCTGAAATGAAAAAACCCCTCAGTCTTAAAAAGATCAATCTGCAGGAAGACATTAAGCCCAAGGAGATGAAATTTTTGACTTCATCAAACAACAGAAAGTAGGACCTTTCACTAAACAACATCAGTACAGGCAGTTTTTCTGGGTATGGCATACAAAAAAAGTAGACTGAGAGCTGCTTCTCCTCCACCTCATCATCTCTTATAACACAAGAATAAGGCACTTGATTAAAACAAAGAGGATGCAAATTCAAAACTGATTAAAAGAAAACAATTTGTACAATGCATAGGTGGGGTAGAGTCCTGTGTTGAAAGCTTGTTTCATACTAACGGTTATGGTATTTAGAGAGAAGATATTTAGGTAACTGAAAATATTCTCTTACAGTAGGACCATTGGAATTAACAGAGATTATTTTTTATGCTTTAGAACTTTATTTCAATGCTTTTGTGAAGGTGGGATCAAAATCTAGCAAGAAACTTTGAAATCCGGCTTCCAGGTGTTTGTCCTTTTTATGTGGTTCTTTGCTATTTAAGTAGCCAAATCTTGTCTTCATTAGACAATACCTCCTTTTGAAGGTATTGCAGTGATTTCTGTCTTGCTATGGTTGTTTAGGACACTGCAGTCTCTTAGTCTTACCTCCACCCCATTAAAGCAGTCTCAGAACTGTGTCAGGAGTTGAGGGAGCACTAAGCAGAAGTTGAAAGTTGGCACGGTGGTAGTTTAAACCATTACAGCTTGATTTCTAGGGCATGTCGGATTGTCTGTGTGCTCTGTCAACTTGCTTCACAATTTTTTCTTGAAAAGGTGAACAGACTTGCTTAATCTCTCATATAAAATGTAGTTCTTGGTTTCTTTTGTGCGTAAGTTCTTTGGTTCTCTTTGGCTTACAGTTCCTTGCCATGATGGTCCTGTCAGGGTGGCTGGGAGTATCACTGCAGCAGCGTGTGCAATGCACTCTGAAATTTCTGGCCTGAGACGTTACGGTCACCACTCTGTTCTTATAAAACCCAATGTGATTCTCACCACTGGAGGCTTTGGGGAGGAGGATGGACAGCACTGCCGTATGAGAAATTTTCATGTGCTAATTAAGCATGCAGGCTACTGGAAAGCTGGCTCTGTAAAAAAGGAAAATCCTGATAAAAGATGGGGTGAGTTCCCATACTGATGGCAAGTGTAAGGAAGACGTTCTTGTGCCAACAACAAAATAATGTCTAGTGGAAAAGTGATGTCACAGTGCAATTATGCTGGCAGTCAGGGAGATCTGAAGGTTATGAATGCTAAGTGTCGGGTCCTGCACTTGGGTCACAACAACCCCATGCAACGCTGCAGGCTTGGGGAAGAGTGGCTGGAAAGCTGCCTGGCTGAAAAGGACCTGGGGGTGTTGGTCAACAGCGGCTGAACATGAGCCAGCAGTGTGCCCAGGTGGCCAAGAAGGCCAACAGCATCCTGGCTTGTGTCAGGAATAGTGTGGCCAGCAGGAGCAGGGAGGTGATTGTCCCCCTGTACTCGGCACTGGGGAGGCCACACCTGGAATGCTGTGTCCAGTTTTGGGCCCCTCAATACAAGAAGGACATTGGGGTGCTGGAGCGTGTCCAGAGAAGGGCAGCGGAGCTGGGGAAGGGTCTGGAGCACAGGGCTGGTGGGGAGCGTCTGAGGGAGCTGGGGGTGTTCAGCCTGGAGAAGAGGAGGCTGAGGGGAGACCTGATCGCTCTGCAGCTCCTGACAGGAGGGGGCAGGGAGGGGGTGTTGGGCTCTTCTCCCAAGTAGTTAGCGATAGGATGAGAGGAAATGGGCTCAAGCTGCGCCAGGGGAGGTTTAGGTTGGATATTAGGAAAAATTTCTTCACAGAAAGAGTAGTCAAGCATTGGAACAGGCTGCCCAGGGAAGTGGTTGAGCCACCATCCCTGGAGGTATTTAAAAGATGCGTAGACATGGCGCTTAGGAACATGGTTTAGTGGTGGACTTGGCAGTGTTAGGTTTACGACTGGACTTGATGATCTTAAGGGTCATTTCCAACCTAGATGATTCTATGTTTCTGTAAATTTCATGCAAGAAAGATCGGTGTGAACCGTAATGTTTTATATCTCTGCAGATGAGCGGTTGTACCATACTGTGTCATGTCTCTCGAACAGCGTGGCCCTGGTGGTAGGAGGACGAACATCCCCATCAAGTGCAGGCTTGGGAATGTTGTGGCTAAAGTTCCCTGAAACCTGTAATGCCTCGGACCCAGGTGACATTACCGTGGCGCTTGTAAGTGTGCAGACTGCTGATGAACCAGC